ATATATATTTCGTGTAATATATATATATATATATATATATATATATAATTTATACGTATTCTGCATAGGCATGAAATAAAGAATATCTGAATTTTCGAGTATGAAAAATGTATGATCAGTCGTACTTGAAAAATGCTTGCCTTTAAATTCTTTTAAAATGGTGGGGGTCCCGCTTTACATTCACCAAAAATCAGTCATTGACGCAATTTCCATTGTTTTTATTACACGTCATGATTGTACCTACTGAACACGTGATCGAACGCGCGCGAATCCATGCTTATTGATACATTACTTTTCATACAAAATACAAATATTTCATCAAATGAATATTATCCCGTATCTTATCTTGTATATTGTAATGGCCAATGAAACACTTATTGTTATATCATCGATTTCACCACAAATCGATACCAATAATAATCCGAAGAAAAATACTCATTACTAAAGGATGTACTTCTAAATAAATCGAATACAAAAATTGAATATAAAGAACAAAATAGTCGCGAAAATACTATCATAACCTATAACTTATTTATCATAATCCGTAGTAGCATCATAAAACTGTTGAAACTAGGATATATAACCGATGGAAAAGATGTTATGATTATTACCATAGATAGTAGTAGTATCGAAAATCTTCTTTTTCTTCTGTAACAGCCTGCTGGAACCTAACGTAAACAAGATCCTGAGGAAATAATTTACGTCAAAGAGCATGTAGAGAATAAGTAAGATCGTGACGAGGCAGGCGCACACCATTTTTCTATAATGCTTCCGGAAGACGAGACGTGAAAGGAGAACAAACAGCTCTTGACGTTCACAAAGCCACAGTCCAAGCAAGACTGCGTGCGGTTACCATGAAATTCCAAACTGCGAGGTCGCTTCTTACACTGTAACCGGTTCCTCATTCTATGACGTTTCGTTGTAATCGGGACGGTGCTTGCTCGTCGCATGTACGGAAGCATTCCACGCGGTCAAAGACGATAACGAACGCCCAATATTTCGAAGATTATGATATTCTGTCCTCTTTTATTATAGTGATTTTATAATTGTGAATAGATGACAACTCGATGGCTCGTTGTGAGAATTTAATCGATCAATTGTTGATGATCGTAGCAAACGAATAAATAGGTGAGTCAATGAATCAACGATTAATATGATTTAAGAGACTATGCATATATATCAACAATTCTTATATAAACTATATACAAACTGAATTAACTGGTGTGGATGGAAATGAATATTCTTTGGCTGCACTAGTCAGCATAATCTTCATAAAAATGATGCCGCGTTTAATTCAGAAAACCGAGTAGATACGATTTCTAAAAATATATATGCTATTCTTTTTATATATCATTATATCATTGCTCGGACGCATTAGCCGTGAACGTGTGAATGCCTTAACTATTTATGATATGAAAATTAAGTACACAAAGTCGTGAACTTTACGTGAAATATTCAACGCGATATGCATGCATTGCGTGACCTCTTTTTTAAATTACAAAATTTTCGATTCAACTTCCGTTGCCAAATTCTTGTATCGTCAACAATTACTATATCGTTTCGATCGAAATCGTTCTGAACAATAAAGAAGAAAATAATATGTGCTTTCCAACGAAGAAACATTAGCCATCTAAGGAATATTTATTCTTACTCCTGGGTAATGGTATTTTCAACGACATGATCCAACATAGTATTATGTGACAAAAATGACATTATTATCATCTAGAATTATAATAACGTTTTCACGCATAGTACGTGCACAATGCTATTTAGCTGTTAAAGACTCGCTACGTCATCGGCTACTTAATAACCATACTACGGATACCAATTTATTTCGAAATTCAAATAGGATATACTTTATGGATTCACCCATGCAAATGGCGTCGGTAATAAGGATTGTATATAAGGATTTCAACAAATCGATCATATGCGAGCCGCTTACAACTAACTCGCAATTTCGCGGGCATTCTATATATTACTAAAAACATAATAATAACAAGCAAGTGAAATTTATAATAGAATCACAACGAACTGATGTATGGCAAACACGGTAACCATATCGATAAGCGAATGTCACAGTCTGAGTGCTCGACAATCGCAGGCGCGCGAATATCCACCATGATTTATGTGAAGGCACCTGTAATACGTTATAGAGGTATAAACATTCGCCGCTTAACGCGCTTGTAAATATATTGTTGTTCTATCTCTACCATCCTGCAGCAAAGCAGCTCCTCGGGAGAATTCTACATTGTTTTCTCGTGGAAATCATTACCGGCGCCAGTCGCTAATTTATATATATATATATTTTTTTATATACATACATATATATTTATATATACATACATATATATTTATATACATACGTATATATATACATATATAATATATATTATAATAAAAAATGTAAATAACACCACGCGTCTCGCGATTACTTTCAACGGAGAATATTTAACAAACGGTGCTCTTTTTAATTTCGGAAGCTCCTTTGAAGTGGATGTAATCGATCTACAATCTGTGACCTTATCCTTCTAGCAATCCGTTCCACGGTTACTAGTAAGACTTTTGGTAAATTATTTTCAAAGTCATTGAATTCATTGGCATATCAAACGGTTTGTTAGCAAGTTCCTCCCCGCACGCATGAGGAATTTAAACACATCTTGTCCGATAGTCACGTATATACCATATATACCATTGCCTAGTAAAATAATTTCCGCGTCTCTGTTTGGCCTTTGTACTGTAGATTTCTGTTTCTCATCGATCCGAAAGAGTTCCTTTTTTCTTTGGCATTGGATACATATATACGATTACGCATCCGAATTACGTTGCAAATAACGCTGAGCCAATTTTTAGGTAGACAAGCATCAACTTTTAAGCTGACCGATTATTCACCTCAATTCTCAACCGAACCATCGGGAATGCAATCGATAAAAGCTTCAAACTTAACTCGTAATTTGTTCACCAAAAAAATTGATTCGCCGTTATCGTTCGAACAAGAAAGTAACTACTGGAAGATTCTATGAATGCGTTCACGACCAACGAAAGCTGGCATCGATCGAATCTTCGACCTTACACGGTCGTAGTCGAATAGACGGAAGTGGACACGGCGCCATTTGCGGAGGACGCCGTATCCTCCTTTTGTCAGCAATTCGTCGTTGCTGCTGAGCTCTGACGAAGCATCGCCGAAGAAATTTCGTTACTTTCCAACCACCTGGCGACTTCCGGTGGCATCTGCGGTCGGACATGAGGTATCTATAACATGCATGTTAATTAATATATATATTTGCACTCCAGACAAATTATTTAGATTAATGTAATCAATTGTAATTACTCTTTCAGAGATTTTAGGTTTTCTTATTTATAATGAACGAGAAACTGAAAATTCGTTAAAAAGTGTAGAAAATTTTACCTGAGTTACACCCGCCTCCACGTTACCGTTCTGCTTGACGCCTCGTTCCATAAGGGAACCGATCACAGCCTCGGCGCTACAATCCAAAAGCCTTTGTCTGCACATCGCGATGGCCCTGACGAATCCGTCGCTGGGAGTGATGAACCGATGTTCCATGAATACGGACTTCTCATCCCAATATATTATCTGCAAGGATACATGCCACGAAAACATCGAATAGTTAAATAGGCAAAGTTACTTGTAACAACCTTATGGGCGCAATTAACTCTTCTCCTTTATAATGGAAAAATGTAACCGGTTTTGATTTGATATTCCACTTGCACCATGATAAAAGTGATAGCGAGAATACATTTTGGATACAATGCGTCATATGATCATCGGAGTGCATACAAAACTATAGTGGCGAACACTTGGACAGCTTCGACTCTCTAAAATAGTACCAGCAACGATTTGCACACTAAGTGTCAACAAGTTCGTTTCCTTCTCGGTCTTATCGGTTTTCCTAGAAGTTACCGAGAACAAATGTTGATAATCGACCGGATACCGAGATCTCTGTGTCGAAGAATCGTAAAAATTTTCTATGGTTTCTCAAGTCGATCAGACAGAGAACAACGAACGTGACTGTGTAATACGATTTTACGTGATCAAACTCACATACCTTAGAAGTTATTTTGTAGATGGACAGAGGTTTCAGGAAGCGGCGATAACGAATGGTCGACGCTCCTTGTACGACACCCGATCCTTGCGAACAGATCTCGCGATAGAGGCTGGTCCTTTCGTAAAAATCCGCCCTGGCGAAATCGATCTCGCGAAGATATCTCGCATTGTTCATATGATAGAGTAATGTGTCCACGTCCGTTGTCGTGCAAATACCTGCGAAAAGTAAACTAATACAACTAGAAAAGTAAATTAGTACAGCCGCGAGAGTAAATAGAATGAGATAAACGATGATTATTCTTTTATTATGTATGTTTCAAAGACTAAAAGGTTAAAGTTGAAGTTAAATAGCAATTTTCGAAGGTTGGTGTCATGAATTGTATTTGACACACAATTGCGAAACGTACGTTGCGATTTTCCATGACGGTCAAGAGAATTAAAGATGCGTGATTTCAGCCGAATAATAACTAACCGCAATCGCATATCGTGCCTCCGATTAAAAGAATACTTGAGAAAACTTTTCTGATTTAACTAATACGATTAAAAACAATTACTTAGAGGTTTAAGAAGATAAGATGAAAGATATGGAACAGAGAATGATGAAAAAGTTGTTTGAGTCGAGTTGCTGCAAGGACAGATAAATAAAAGATCAGTATTTGCTGGAATATAATAAACATATTAAGTATCCCGAGAGTTTAATATTCTTTGTTTGTCCCACGTGTCATGTAAGTCCTGATAAAAGTGTATGTTCTTTCGTAGGTAATTTCTGGAATTCAGACCACCGTGTATAGGATGAGAACGCTACTGACAGAAAAGACGCATACTGATAAAACACGTTGCAAAATTTACGTCGTTTACATTTCGATCTGTTGGTCCAGCTTTGTAGAATTTCGCAGCACAGTACTGCACAATCAATACTCGTACGGATTTGCGACACGAGCAACCGACCGGCCAACTGATCGCGCATGGTAGGTCAAGGTTTACGCGAATGAGCCCAAGATAAGTCAGTAAATTGTAAGGATTCTGGACTTACGTAGCCACAGAGATCCATGAAATGCATTTTCATGGAATCTCTATATTCTTAAACAACGTTTCGGTTACGTCCTATCGATAATACTAGCTTGAACGAGGCAGCATTATACACGATTTAACATCAAATCGTTAATCATCGTTATTTCTAATCTCATTCAGGGTTAAGCAGCCAACGTACCGTAAACGGTGGTCTCATCGAGGATATGAACCTTCTTCTTGCAGAAGCGTGCAAGGAACACGGTCAAGCACATACGCAAGAAATAGTGAACTTCTACTAGGTTATAGAGCAGCACGATAGCTCCAAATACACCAGCCAACACCCAGCAGGTTATCATCATGATTAAGTTTGCGATTCGCACGTCCTCAAATTCGAACAGGAGTATGATCCCCGCGTGGTCAGGCTTTGGAATTCCTCCACCGTCGGGAAGCCACACTCCACTTTATCGATTCGTCGTCGATTCTGACTGCGTTTCCTGGCTCGCTTCTCGCCGATGAAAAGCCAAGTTGCTCGATTAGCATGTCAAAGGATCGTAGGTGGATCGACGCACCATGACGATCAACCTTAGTTCCAAATATATCGGTACATGCCGGACGACCATTGAACGCATCAAGAGATAATGCAGCCCGTGTCCGGCGTTCTTTTATATACGAAGCACCTCGGACCTGAAATGCCAGAAGCATTACCATTTAAATACTCAGACAAAAAGTATCGAGTGTCTCGTTTCCATGGAGTGCGTTTCTCATTGTAATCGTGCACATGGAATATTCCACTCGAGTCATGCTAGGATGCAAATGTTCAATAATAAGAGACAAAAACAAGACAGTGATTTGGTTATCTCCTTCTTGACAACGATCACTCTGCGGAAGAACTCGGCAGGCGAAGCACTTTGTAAACTAACAAAGTAATAAAATGTCCGAAATGTGCACTCACTAATTAACAGTATAAATATTGGGAATACGCGTTTGGTATGATCACGCGATGCTTTCCTGCCAAGTGGCAGGGGATCGTTGACGAATAAGCAGCACATCAAAAATAGGCATCCGATGAACCGCGCGCGTCTTGCAACGTTGCTGATCGTTGTACGCCGATGAATAAACGGAACGGTGACGAATCGCAACCGTGCAACAACGACACCATGTCGATGTAACGTTTAGACGTAGAATTTCTGGTAGTACGAATATACCGTGGAGACAATTCAAAATTCCCAGCGAAAGCTACTTTCGATACTTTCCCCTTCGAGAGGTTGTACGATTGTCACGCGAAGCACGTTTTCATTGGCCGCGTTCTTCCAAAATATTGTCCCGAAACGTCGGTCTTCTCCGTCGAGGTTCGCAATGCGTCATTGCGGTATTGCTTCTTCCGAAATCGAAGGTGTTTTCTCAATTGATGATGGTTCTTCTATATCACAAGATTCTTATTATTCAGATCGGTGTTTAAGCTTCCGACGTTTAAGCGCTCACTAGCTTTCGTATCGATGCTCGCTTCGACCTACCTAGCGGCAGTCTGTCAGGTGGAATCGCCGCGGACGCCCGATGACTGTCCTGTGCCTGACTATTCACGGCAACATGAATCTGCACATGCTTGTCTACTTATACACGCACGCACACAAGGAACACACGTACACAAGTACAGAGCTAAGGAGTATGCGTTCGAGTCGACGACATCTCACAAACTGCTGATCAACGCGTTCCCGGGTTCGATGTCGTCGTCGGCGTCACAGGCGCCGGAACGTCCCTTTCCAGAAGTCGCATCTGCGCCGAGGACTTCCAACCATGATGCTGGTTCCTAGTGGGAGGCGACACCTCGTTGCGCGTTGACGTCAAAATCCTTGGCGCTTTTCTTAATGGCAAACCGAAGTACAAGTGTGTGTTATGCCAGGATGACGCTAAACTTGCCATTTTGAACGCCTCTGCTTTTACAGGGAGTAAAATATAAATTTGAAAATCATAGCGTAAACTGGTTTCTTTGAAACGGTTCTTCTTCACGATTAATTCAAAGGTTGTAGAGTGAAATCTTCAGTTTTGAAAGCGAAAAGAAATTATAAGGTTCTATATAGTGGATTTTGAAGAAGACAGGTACAAAGTAACAAGGAAATTGTCTGAAATATACAATATCCTTGAACTTTGACAGTCTTACAACTCGCTGATTAAGGAGATAAGCGAGGTTTTCTGATATATTTATTGCTAAATCATATTGATTATATCTATGTAAAAAAAGAACGAAGCGTATCGACGCAATTTTCCCAATATCTATATTAATAAAGTGTAATAATTATAGGACACTAAGGAACAAATATAATGTTAAATCATCACGATCTATCTAGAATAATGAATCTTCCTCCTTTTTTTCTCGTTTCTATGAATTAAAAACTCACCTAAGATTTGTTTATTAATATGGCACAAAAGTGTATACAATATAAGTATGTATCGACGTCACCGTCGAATGTAATTATGAATATACTATAATTTATGACATATTAAAATCACGGATAATTCAAACGATGACTTCCACCATGAATCTTCCTTTTGTAGCATTTTATGTTTTATTTACTTTCTTCGTCAAAAGATCATTCCTAAATAGAATTTTTAATCTTTCATATGTAAATCTTTTTCTGCTATTCTTTTTTTTTTTAGTAAATTTCTTAAGGAATATAAAGAGTTCGTTTCTCTACCTTGTGTGCCCTCGTCTTACGAAATCAACGTATGCCAACTATATGTAATTGAAACGGGAAAAAGAACAAGCAAAGCTTCGTCAAACGTTGTTTGAAGGCGGGGCATGCACAAGCAATACGATGTTACGTCGAAAAGGTGGTGGTCAGGAAACGCTTTCCTGCTGATGTTTTATGGAAAACGCGTGATCCACGAACGAACAATCACGAAATCGGCACGAATCATGAGCTAATCAATAAATATCTCACGTACGACGTGGGAATTTCAGACGTCGTAAAATTTCTATTAGCCTACCAGAAGCTTCATAGAACCATTACATTACATTCTAAACTATGTTCGCAATGGGACGACGAAAAGCAACTCGTGAAGCAAATAAAGTGTAGTTCTCTTCTTCTTTTGTAATGCCAAGTTAACATATATGTGTATCAAAGCAATTATTATCATGTTTATTCTAAAAAAAATCATTTGTACAATAATGTTCTGTTTGATACTCTGCTTAACGAAAAATATAGAAAAGAATAAATACATGTAATTTTCATGCTATAGTATTCTCCGATTTTCAGATATTACTAGCTAGAAAAAAATTCAGTAACAAAAGGTTTATCCCCACTCCCGTACCGAGTTAGAGGTAGATCGTACGGAATAGGGAAAACTGGAACACCAGCTTCTTCTTTTTTGATAGGAAACGTAGTTGATCCAGTCTGTAAAAAGATGATGTATACTTGAAACGTGTATAAAGGATATATAAATAAGAATACGTTTACGTACAACGAAGTGCGGAATAAATATAACGCCTGCTTCGTAATTCAAAATATGATGGGAGTCCTTTCTGACCATTCCCCATGCGGCTTTACTTAAATTAGCACTAGTAAGAACGAACCAAGGAATCTTTTCTAAATTAGGCGAAATTCTTGTGTATGTTTTTATATGAGGTATTGCTTTATCTCTAGCGGTTCGTGTAGCTTTCCACTGGCTGAAATATTTTATATGTACGGTATGTACATATATAAATAGAAATATATAAATAAAACTTAAGAACTTACTACATATAGGATTCTACCCATTCTTGTTTAGAATGTGTTTGAATACTGTATGGCAAACAACAAGATCCAACTTGACAATCAAAACTTTGTTTGTAATTGTTTAAAGATGGATAAATGAACCGAAAGTTCGGGCAGCTCTTCAAACCTGGTGGATTTTCCTTTGACATCGAAGATATTATCTCCTTCTGAATCCAACTTTCATAATTAGGACCTAAGCTACCAATACTTGAACTCTGAACAACTAATGTCCACTGTGGTGCATCAGGAGGTAGTTTCGCATGTTTAGAAAGAACGTGACCTAATTTTCTATAACCCCAATAATCATATTCCACACCTGTGTGTCTCCCAGGAACAGATGCCACAAAGAATACATTTACTGAAGAAAAATTTGCTCTTTTCACAGCAGAAATCCATTCTGTTAAAGCTGGTTGTTCGTATTTGTGCAAGTAACGTTCTAAATCCCTCTTGAATCCTGTTGGTGATTCTCCATCACTGGGGTTTGCAGATTCTGCCAGCAGTGGAAGATGTGGCGATATCCAAACTCTGATCAACAACATTGAAGCAACTGTTTATCGATTAAAACAACTCTTCTTCTTAAAACAAGCACAAAATGACTTCTAAAATTATTTAACCAACCCTTGTGTTCTATTCTCCCAATCATCCGAATATAGATTTGCGGTGGAAACCACAACCCGTATTCCATCATCTTTGTATTTCAGGATCATGACTTTAGTATGATGACAACCAAACTTTGTTGGCATCCACACAGGTATCATAGTGATATTCAAGCTTAATTTTTCTTCATCCACTCTTGTTCCAAATAAAATAGACATATCTGTGCGTTGTCCAGCCAATAAATATTGCAAACATAACCACCCAACATCAACCATAAAATTAATATGCAAACTTTTTACAATTTCCCCTAAACTAATGTCTAAGATCTCAGGAAATGTTATAGAAAATTGTTGATTATATGTTTCTTTTGATTTTTGGATTCTTGTAAGAAATAAGTGATATGGAGCTGATAAGGCATATTTCATACCAAAATTTCCTGGTTCTACCACGGATACTTCAAATCCTTGTTGTTTCATCATTTTAATTGCTCTCTCTCTGACTTCGCTCCTAGATTTTATAGAATTGCATAATTCAAATCTTTCTATCAAAGATGTGCCTTTCGAAACACTAGAACTTTCCATATTTTCTGAACTATTATTTGTATCTTGACCACACTCTTGTACCTGTCTAGTATGATTTAACTTTGATTTCTTCCTTTCCTTATCATTGTCACCAAAGATACTACTATCTCTCTTTTTATCTTGCGAGCTAGATTTATGCATAGATTTTTCGGTTATTTTCAGATTATCCAATTCTTCTTTCATTTTGGAAACTTTTCTCTGATTATCTTTTTCATTAGAAGACATAAAAAGTGCCTCTGCCTCTTCATCCATATTTTTCAACTTATTTTCTCTTCTCTGAATCGTTAGTTGTTTATGTTTTTCCACTTTATCCTTTAAAGTTTCAGAAACTGTTTTTCCGTTAGTGACTTTTGGACTCTCAGCATTTATTTTGGACTTTGATGCTATGTTTGAAGAACTGCTTCCATCACTATTTCTGTTTTTTCTTAATACAATCTGCAAGATCTTTAATTGATCTTTCAAAAGACAACGATCAGAACACTCAAAATTAAGTTCCTCGGGAACTCGTATTTCGCCTTCTAACTGATTTACTACAATTTTTTCCACTGAAACAGATCATATGTTTTTCTTCGATCACGGTTGAATACTTAAGATACGACTGACAAGAAACATATGAAACTTACAGTGTGGATGTGACATCTCGTTGAAATGAATTGGATTCTTGCGATAGCATTTTTCCATGTAAGGGCATTGCTTCTTGACTGAAACTTGCACAAAACAGTGCAACTTTTTAAATTGCACGAAATTAAATCTTAACCTTAAAACCAGTTGATGTATGCTTACCATTGTTCATAAAACTTGTAGCCATTTTGTGATATTATTTAGTTTGCAAAGATGATAGTACGAAAAAGTTATCCTTTAAATGTTATATAAAACAATAACGCGTAATACTATCACAATTTGTTCCGTATCCGACCAACTTCTATTTCAAATTATTGACGAGAACGAGCAGATGGCACTGTAATCGACATGGCGTAAGTGTAGTTCGAGTTGAAATTAGTTTCGATCTAAACTTCTTCACGTCGGCGCGTCTTAAAAACGTAGTTTTAAAAACATGTGAAAGTCAACGTAAAATCATATAAATTGTCAACATTACTCACTTAAATTATATTCACTAGTTTATACCAGGATGAGACGACACGAATATTTAGTATTATTTAATTAATCCTCATTGTTAAATAATGATATGCCATATGAACTTCAATGGGCGCCAATTTCATTAATCAAGATGGAAGACATACAACACGATGTACAATATTCAACACAATCGCCGATTGGCAATATTTCATACAATCGATCTGTAATCTGCTGTAAGATATTTCCAAACATCATCGAACAAAGGGATAAGGAACGAGAAAGGTAATTTAATAAACTCATTTAGTATCAATATAAAGTTAAGATATTAATAACATCGATATAAAGTACAACAAAATGAATCGTTGTTGGAAAGCGATTTACATCGGTGCAATTAATACGTCTCAAACGCGACATTGAGAAATAGCATCTTAAATGCGATACGAAATGTTAGAAAGCGAGTCTCAATAAAACGATCGAAGGAAAGCAAGTGGTGAAGGAGAACGAAAGACGTAGTAGACGGGGGACGATTAACAACGTCTCGACGCGTAACAGCGCGTCCTTAACCGATGCAGCGTCGAGCACCAGAGTTAAGTTTCAACGAGGAAACTTACCGACCGCATCTCAGCGGCGCTCGACGCTCGGCGAGCGCCCCTTAGAAACAAATTGCGAAGACGAATTTCCATTTTTCCCAAGAACAATTAATAGCCGCGGAAAGAATCGGGATAGCGGTCTTAAAAATCGGTCCGCTTAATATGTATGCGCATAATTTACAGGGCGCCACTGGTATTGGAATGATTAAATTAAAGTCGCCGCCAGGGGGTGGAATGTTTTTCAACCGACGTCCCGCGCACAAAGATGATTTGTCTGGGGAAAATATTAAACAAAAACACGTCAGTGGGGAAGCGTCGAAAAATTTGCATCGTTTGATTAAAAAATGGGAAAGTGAATATTTTAAAAACAGATCACGATAAAAGTAGGTGATCTTCTCAAAAGAAGTTGGACTTTTTCAACAAATGTACTTATATACCTTGTCAAAAGTTCTTCAGATGAATTAAC